AAGACTTCAAGACCATGGCCACACAGCCCGGAAGACCCACACCAGCCATCGTATGCCGGCCTTGAAAGCCTTCGACAATACATTAACTACTCATTCTTATTTGAACTATGGCAATCAATAGTGCTTGACACCTCTCAATGAGAGAGTGTTCTGTTTGTTTTTAAAATAATACACAATTCTGCTTTGCAAATGCTATGGAGAAATTCCAGTGTCCAGAAAGCCCAGCTTGCTTAAGGGCTCAGGCACAATTTGGGACATTTCAGAAGCAATTTCCAACAGCTTCATAGATCTGAAGCATAAAAGGAACACAGTCTGGGTCCCAAGTGTACCATGTTCCCTAGGAAGAAAGGAAAACAGATTGTGACCCCCCCCCAAATATCTTGTTGCTTCAGAACCACAGACTTCTAAGACATCTAAGGGACTTCAACATGCAGGCTGAGCCTGCATGCCTCAGATCTTCATGGCAATCATGACTCTGCCTCAATTGCTTTCCTCAGTTGCTGGAAGGGCATAATTACCCCCAAATTGAGAGAAAGAACCTTTGTATATATGCACATAAAGCACTTTACCTACTATATATGGTTTAACCATCTCCATTGCAAATCCTGTGACAGCTTACCCACCCAGGTTTTACAACTCAGCCCGCTCAGCACTGCTGAAGCCATTTCATGTTTTGCTCAGTTACAATAACTGTATTTAGTCTCTATCACCATGGCCATTTTGAGGACACAAAGAAGACAACATCAATCTTGTGGTCTTCTGCTTAATCCTCAGGCAACTTTGGTTAGCAATTATAATCTGAGACAAATGGATTAATGTACTATAAATGGCTCTGCATACTGAGTAATTCTGAGTAAGTTGTTATGTACATCTAAAAGTTCTCCAAGAAACAGCGGAAAAAAACAACACAAGTGCATAGAAGTAGTAGTGTTCCTCCCACCCCTCCTCCATGCCTCCTGCACTGACCACTACAGATTTTCTCCAAAGCATTTCTTTAAGAAGCCTTTGCTATGATCTTCTACTAAAGATTGCTGGTCCATGACAAACACAAAAGCCATAAGTAAAAGTTATTTACTGGAATGTGGTTTTCTTCCCAATTTATTTTAAAAAAGAAAAAGAAAAACAACTAGAACAAAACAGTATTGACCGAGTTAAAGGAAAACTACTAACAAGCCCAAAATCATACAGGGGAGGGGGAATTAAATGAGAGTCATACCTACGCACACAAAGAAAATCTTGAGGACAAATACAAATTACTGATCTGTGATTAACAAAAAAACCCCACAGGTACAAGTTATTTACTGTGATTTGATTTGCAGCTAGGTTTTACTCTCTCCTCTACTAGGTAAAACATGAGTAAACAAGTTCATTAGCTAATAAAGAACACGCCCTGAAACTGTCTCACCGAAACATTCACTTTGTCTCATTTAAAGCACTGGATGAAGTAATCAGCCTCTTTACAATAAGCTTCTGGATAAAGGTCAACGCAAAGCAATGTCACAGGCAAGTCCTAAAGAGCCAGGGTGCAATGAATAGTATAAATATAAACAAGCAAGCTATATACAAGATTTATGCTGCTAATTTCAGTTTCCAAGTAGTGGACATTTAAGAAGGTGAATTACTTCATTACTTTTAAATTCTAAAAAAAATTGATTTGCATCTATAATGCCTATTTGTTTTTAGATGAAAAAGGTTGAAGCATTAGAAATAGAGGGTATATTGCAATGCCAACTTTTAAGCCCAGGGAGGGGGGGCTATTATGTTTTGAGGTTGTTGGGCAGCCACTGGCACAGGAAATAGCGTGCTGGTGGAAGGAAAATTGGGTTCATTTAGGAGCTTGTCCACACTGGCAGTTTGCCTCATTTAGGCCAACAACCATTTTTGGAGAGCAGGAACGATAGACATTGCCCTGTTTCTATCCCCACCATGTTTGCAACCTCCAGGCACATTTTCCTGCTCTGTTTTCCTGCCTATGTTGCTTCAAGTGCTGTAGTGTATTTGGCTGGTGTACTTGAGTTTGTTCAAGGCTAACCCCATCACTTTATTGGTTGCAGCACAAAGTGCCAGGAATGTCCCTCACCCTAACCCGTGGTCAATGCCCTGCACAAATTTGTCCCTTGAAGTTTTTTTCTCTTTAAGAACCTCAGAAGTGGATCACTGAAATGCAGGTCCTCACCTACCAGTTCAGCATTTTTATTCTAAATTGCTTATGGCTTCCTGTATGAACATCCAAATAAGCAGCATTCTCTGTAACTCTTATCTTTTTAATACTTCATGGGGGAATAACAGTAAAATAATGAAATGAATAAGGGGTTCTGTCATATTGTTTTATTTTGGGTTCATAAATTGTACATAAATAGTAAATAAAAACACATGCTGTTTAACTCTGTGTCATGTGGGGGTTGTATCAACTTCTTTTCACTCAGGGATCCACTGAAACACACAATTTGACCAAATGTGCCTAAACATTTGCATGCAACTGGATAGATGATAGGTTGATATCTGCCAAAACCCACATTCCTCCCCTCAAGAGGGCCAAGGCCAAGGCATAAGATAAATTAAATAGCTACTTATTAAAATGAATTGCCTATAAATAATATTCTCAACTTATAAAAATAATTCCTTATTTGCATGTATTATGCTGATTGGCCAAAGGTCATAATAAAAATTCATTCATTCACATACTATTCCTTTTTCTCTCATACAAACCCATTTATGTAGACACATTCTTGACCACCTTCCAGCAGAAAAGAATGAGATGCACTAAGGAGTAACTGGCAGAGTATGTCCTATACTTACTAAGTTTTGGGAGAAAGCTGCTGTATTATATAAATGTGATTGTGCAACAAATGCTAAAATTTTCAGAGGATAATATTCTCTTGAATTACATACCTAGTACATGGAATCTGACAACTGGACACTGTAAATGGATTCTACGTGCCCTTACTATGGCCAAAGGACTGATACTGCAGCATCAGAAAGATAAATGTATGGCCCCTTCACTCAATGGATTGAAGACCGGATTACACTTGCTACGTATGAGCAGATTGCCTATAGACGTAAACTTTGTATGGACAAATATAATGAAATATGGGACTTGTTTATACAAAATACAGTAGGTTAAAAAAAGCATGATAGTTATATAAGTGTATTAGAAATAAATATATTTCTAATAATTTATTTTTATTTATTTATTAATATGTTTATGTCGCCCCTCCAAGGCAACAGCTGATCCTTTGTTGTTGTTGTTGTTCAGTTGTTAAGTCGTGTCCAACTCTTCGTGACCCCATGAACCATATCGCGCCAGGCCTTCCGGTCCTTCATTGCCTCCCTGAGTTGGCTCAGTTTCAGCTGATCCTTAGACTAATCTTAAAGGCGTCCATGTTTTTCCGCAGCAATCTTTGCAGCTGTTTACTTATTTATCCACTCTCCTGTTTTCACCCTTGTTTATTTCCCTAGACATCTCCTCCCTCCAATAATTCACAGCTAATTATTGGGGGAAAAACTATTACATAGATCAGTGCTTCTCAACCTCAGCAACTCTAAGAAGTGTGGACTTCAACTCCCAGAATTCCCCAGCCAGCTTTAAGAAGTCCACGCTTCTTAAAGTTGCTGAAGTTAAGAAACACTGATATCGATAACTATTCACAATAAGTATAATGTAACTCCAGTAGGGAAAAAATATATTTCTGCCTCATTTCATGTCACAAGTGACATGATTACCTGCACATTACTGCAATTTTTGTAAAAAAATACAAGCATATTTCAGCATGGCACACATTTATAAAACAAATTTAAATCCTGCATCAGTCAACAAACAAGTATTAAATAGTTAACTTACCCATTCTTCTACATTAGGAGCTTCATCATAACCTTTTGTGTTATCCCACAGTATATTCATTTTACCATAGTAATCCATTTTACTTCGGGTTTTTACTGCAAAAAATATTATTATGCCCAAAGCTGCGACAATCAGGAAGCCTAATATAATGGCAATAGCCTAGGAAAAGAACAGATCAGTATGTTCAGACTATTGTTTTAAAATCCACCATAAAAAATCTTACATAGAAAGTCTGCCTTTTTCAAATTACAAGTAAACAGCAATATGGAACCATTATATAGTGACTGAATATGTAAGATTCAAAAATATATTCAACCTATTTCAACTATATTTTTTTTAACTGTTATTGGCCAATAACCAGTAGCAAAATTAATAGCCCGCTTCTCAACATGGTTGTAAGCTAATCCTAAAATCAATCAGCAGCTCAGTACAAGCACCTACAATCATATTATCCCACAAATTAACATATCCCATTTCTAAAAGCTGAAATTTTAGCGTCATTGGAAAGAACAATGTTAAAGGGAGGCATTAGACATTTTTTCTAGGATACACTGATTTAATCCTTTAATTTCCAGATATGTAGACTTTCATTTCCAGAATTCCCTAGGGAGCATGGCCATTGTTAAGACTTCCGGCAACTGAAGTCCACACAATCTAGAAGTTGCTCAGGTTGGGAAATTCTGATTTATACACAAGACTAAACAATCGGGGGGGGGGACTTCTTAAACATAGAAGCAGGCATTCTTATTTGCATGTGTTTCAGTGGCAAAAGTCAAATAATGCATGCCTACATGCATTATTTTAAAAATAATATTTATGCAGTAGATAAATAGGTCCCTCTCATATTTATTGTAGGTAAATTTTACTTACTTAATCTGATGAAACACTGATTTTGGAAAAAAGTCCAATCTTCTCCATGTTTAATCTATAATTTTTCCAGGCAAATACATACATATTTTGACATAGTCATCAAAATATATAATAAAGTATAGCTTTTTTTTCAACAAAAATATATAAATCCTCTTAATGATCAGTGCAATTCCAGATTATCTACTCATATTGGTTTGTTTACAATGAATGAAGCTTGCACAAATTCCATGTATCTAGAGTTCTTATCCATTTACAGAATTTCCCCTGCCAATAACACTAATTAGTCTACTCAAATACAAACAACTGCAGCCAGTATATTTAGCAAAAGGTTTTATATATTAAGTAGAACTTTAATCAGGGGACATACAATTGGACTGAAAATTTACAGGTACAAGCAGATAATGGTATATAAATGCAGTCAAGCCACAGTGTTGGAATCCTGCACATACAACATAGAATAAAGGAAGTTTTAGTTTTCGCCTCATCATTTTGTACATTAATTCATATCTAAGCTGGGTGGTATGGAGGTGGTATTCTCCAGATGTACTGCACTAGAATTTAACCCCATAATTAATGGCTGAGAATTATGGGTGTGGTAGCCCAAAATATCTTTAGAGCACTATATCAGAATCTGTCTCGAAGGAATGAGAAGACGTCTCCATTTTTTCTTGTTTCCTTATATTAAGAACAAAAAAAAATCACACTGTTGCAAAAAGGGTAGCTAACATTCACTGTCCTGCACAAACCAATGAAATAATTTCCTCATAAAACTAAGTTTTAATATA